GATTGTTATCGGTGACAAGGTTAGATTGCACACCAGATACTTGTATGAGTGTATCATTAGACGAGCAAGTCGGGGTGCTCCTGTAAAGATGCATCCAGATGCCCTCACAGAAATTTTATTCTGGGATTTCTCGCTCAGAAAATGAGAATGGTGTTGACATTTGCAGAGTTAATCATGATTTTGTGACAGATTTTGACATTTTTGTGACGCCTCAGATGTAGGCTTCGGTGGTTATTTATCCACCTAGAGTAGCGTTGTTAATTGTGTTGACAACGGTGAAATCTCGGTAATTGGACAAGCGATGAAAAGTTGGAAAGTTTAACATCAAGCGAATTAGAATGCGTAAGACGAGTATTATGCACTAATGAAAGTAAATTTAGTTTAAATAACAAGTCGGTTAACGTCAACTCTGACAATAAAAACGTTCCACATATACTAAAGGTCGGCAGCAAGAAAAACATACTACAAAACATAGCAGTAGATATTCACTATATTTGTTCAGATAAGGACATCACTTTAAATTCAAAATGGCTACCGAGGGCAGACAATCAGTATGCAGACAAATTGAGCAGAAACACTGATAACGATGATTGGGGTATTCATGGCGAATTGTTTAAATATTTGAATGGTAAATAGGGACCATATAGTATTGACAGGTTTGCTATGCATTATAATGCACAATGCACACGTTTCAACTCAAAAACATTGGTGCCCAGGTTCAGAAGGTATAGACGCATTCTCTCAAAATTGGGGTAACGACACGGACCGAATCAACACAGTACACTCCTTATTTCCTCGTATTTGGAAGAGAATGCAGAACGCCTATTGACACAGTTTTAACAGAACCCTCCAAAGTCGGACCAGTCGCTAAGCAATATATAGACAAGGTACATGAGGTCGTGTCTTCAGGGGCCGCGGGAATATATGACCGGACTATTTGGACTGTGCAGTGCGAAAATAGTTTTAAACAACATTTTATTTTTCAATTGTTTTAATGTATATTTAGGTTTTGCATTTATTTTATTATTCTGAACTTTGTCGTAAATTAAGGCATAAGTGTTTTACACGGATTATGTGTCATAATCTAGGACAAAGGACTTAAATTCATTTACTCTATTCATTTAATTATTTATTCTCTGTAACAGTTTAGACAATAATTTACTTATACTGTCGGACATCAATTACTCTTCTAAACTATTGTTATTTCTATTTGGCATATGTTAATCATCTTAATCCTTTAATTGCTTGGGCTTATATATATTGTTATTGTTTGTATGTTACTTTACATTTGGTTTGGAGTTTGTTGTTCGGTCTTGCCGGACTGATTAAATAAAAGTTTAAGGAGCGAAATATTCCTTCTTGATTTCCATTTAGCCGGAACGCCATTTTACCCAGCTATACTAACACTGGGCATACAGTCATTTGGGCAATATACTTAACAAAACAGTTAGAATAGAGAAATGAAAAATATTCTATCACCATTTCCTGTTGATATTGACACTGGTTGTGTTGATATGGGTCAGTGCTATCAGTAGATAAAATTTTGAAGCTAGAAACCTTCAGGGAAGTACAAACCAATGTTTGGTTCTAATCAAATTTTTAAAAAGGTTAATAGATGAAAGGTGTGATTAAATAGGTTATTTCTCAAATTATGTCTCACCGTATAAGATCGTCAATTACACACTCTCTTATGATGTCATTTACCAGATAGAATGCACGCCTGTATCTCTGCACTATTAAAGTTTCAAGCATCTTCAGGATTGTCATTCTGCAGGAAATAATTTATGTACCAAAGGTGCGTAATCTTCATTCCAGTAAGCCTGAAGGGGGGCGACCAACTAATTAGATTTTAATTTCGTGAATATTTCGTGCGGTATAGCATCAAACTTTTTCACCAGTTTGCTCATGTGTTGGAAGTGACAATGCCTACATTTTGGTCAGATCATGATGAAAGTCACAGATATAACTAACTACCATATCTGGAACTGGCATATTAATTAATAATCGTAGCTAAAAATATCTTGGTGCATAAAGCAACAATAAGTTGAAAATCTAAAAATTTATTTTCCAACTAATACATATCAAAATAAACATTTATATATATATATATATCAGTACATGTATAACATATATATGATATATGGTATGTAGTTAAAAATGGAATCTTAAAAAAACATGAAAGTAATGAATCTAATCAATGAGGTGGACAATACCTTTGCAAGGTTAATGAAAAAATAAATCTTATAAATGTAATGAAATAATATATCTTATAAATGTAATGAAAAAATATCTTATAAATGTACCGTGGTAATGAAAAAAATATCTAATAAATGTAATGAAAAAATATATCTTATAAATGAATGAAAAATATCTTATAAATGTAATGAAAAAATATCTAATAAATGTAATGAAAAAATATCTAATAAATGTAATGAAAAAATCTGATAAATGTAATGAAAAAATATCTTATAAATTTAATGAAAAAATATCTAATAAATGTATATTCTCAATTTTATATAAATGTTTCAAAGTGATATTTTGTGTATAAACAATTCTGGTATTCTATATGTGTTCAGTAATTAAACATGAAATAAACAATATGAAAAAGAACCAATTAAAAAAAAAAAGAATGTTCTTTTGGAAGTTCAATAGCCCAATTACATAAAAAAAAAGGGAGTATAATATTATCACAAATTGTCTTGGAAATAATGCCTTTAATGAAATTTCCTGAAGCAATTTTTGACATCTGAAACCAATTTTATGCAAACAAAAGTTTATGAAGTGAAAGAGTTTTGGTTGTATATCAGAAAAAAATGAAGCATGGTTTAATTACAAATAAAATTGAGAATGGAAACGGGGAATGAGACAAAGAGACAACAACCTGACCATAGAGCAGAAAACAGCCCAAGGCCACCCACCAATGGGTCTTCAATACAACAAGAAAATCCCGCACCTGGAGACGGGCTTCAGCTGGCCACTAAACAATAATGTATACTAGTTCAGCGAAAAATGGACCTCACACTAAACTCCAAAACATATAAATGAGCCAAAATTAAAAAAACGTACAGGTTCCCAACTTGAGACAGGCGCAAAAATGCGGCAGTGTTAAACTTGTTTTGTGAGATCTCAACCCTCCCCCTATACCTCTAGCCAATGTGGAATAAACCAACACACAGCAATATGCACAGTAAAACTCAGTTTAAAAGAAGTCAGAGTCCGATGTTAATTACAAAGTTGATCTCATTGTCACATGATTGTGTCATTTATTAAACAAATGTCACATGATTGTGTCATTTATTAAACAAAAGTATGGTCAATTTCTGCTGTGAATGCTACTCATCACGATGTATAAAAGTTCATACTAACTACAAATAAATTCATTGAATTATAGCCTATTAATCATGTGAAAAAAACTTATGAGACTTCATATACAGTTTCTTAAATTTTACAGGAACCAAGATATGAACTTTTTATAAAGTTTATTGCGAACCCAATGAAAGTTTTCCACAGTGCCATCTCTATCTTGACCAGGTATTTAAACTTTTGCAAGTTCACCTGTCCTATTGAATGAATACAATAGCTATTTTTCTCTGTGTAGTTTATTCACTGGGACCTTTAAATTTCTTCTAAGAGAAATCTATCACTCATTGATTAATTTACCTGAGTAAAAAAAAATTTTTATATATAGACAAAAATACTTTTTTTATACTCATTAACTGCGTGTGATGATGTATTTATTCAATATTAATAATATATTTTCATTCAGTTTAATATAAACATTGATTCAATCATAAAAAGTTGATTTCAAACAAAAGTTTTATCAATGTTCCTATTGAAATTTGATTTTTTTTTGTCTAGTTATAGAATACATTTAATAAAATACTGTAAACCAACTTATTTTCACAGATAGTTATTCATGTTAACTTATCCCTTTCATTTCTATAAATCTATGTCTGAGAGGATTATTTATTTTGACATTTTTTCACAAACCATTAAGCTTGATTAGAATAAATGTACATTGAAGTACAGTCTAAATGGATAATAAGAGTAAATATTAGCATTGTCACTTTCATAGTTTTTTTGGTCCAACACAAAAAAAATAATTTGAAAGTCACAAATTTCCATAGGAACATAGCAAAATTTAATGTCAAAACATTGGAACAAAATTATGAAAAGCTGTAGACAATTCAGTAAAAATTGGTAAATAATGCAAATAAAGTAAATCAGTTTATTATGGCTAATATTGCAAATAGCCAATGCAGACAACTTACCCTAATACATTCTAGAAGCCTACTAAATTATTAGATATTGAATAAATCAACATCACATATAGTTTTGTGTGTCCTTATTTAGTATTGGTACATGTATTTTTATCATTGAGAGTTAAATTTTTTGTTCAGGTAAATTAATCAATGAGTGATAGATTTCTCTTAGAAGAAATTTAAAGGTCCCAGTGAATAAACTACACAGAGAAAAATAGCTATTGTATTCATTCAATAGGACAGGTGAACTTGCAAAAGTTTAAATACCTGGTCAAGATAGAGATGGCACTGTGGAAAACTTTCATTGGGTTCGCAATAACAAGCATCAGTAATGCATGAAAAAAAAGTCAATATGGTCATTTTGTCTAGATACTGGCTTCCGCACTATGCATGTAAGTCTAGATGATCCTAGAACGTCAGTGGCTGAAAGTAGTTCAACTACTGTAACACAAGTCTGAAAACACTGAGGTTGCAAGTTTGAACCGCCCACCCGGCAGGTGTGTTAGATTCCAATATCAATTGACTAGATTTGTCAGTTTTCCTGCCAAAAGTTTGTGGTTCTCTACACCTAAAAGAACTGACAGCCAGGAAATAGCCAATAGTGATAAAAGTGGTGTTAATCAATCTTCATGCAGTAACCTTAAATCTCATGGTTCAAAAGATATAATCTTTGATGTCAATGTCAAGTTACATGGAGTTGTCAAAAATTAAGTAATTAAAAAATACTAACAAACTGTGTTCAATGTTTACAGATGTTGTATTATTTCTTTCAAATAAAATGCACAATGGTAATAATAACAACAAAAAAAGACCATGTAATAATAAATTTTAACCCTGTACAATATATATCATCTATGTATATGTATATATATGGTAAAAAATCCTGGTTATAATGTTGATATCTGAATTATCACAGCTGAATGGAGTACAGTAAAAAAAAACTCATTTTATTTCACAACATTTGCAAGTTTTATTTATATCACATATCTTGATAACAAAATACAATTATAACACTAATGTTTTGAAAATATCAAAACAATGAAATAATAAAAATAATGTAAATATCTTACAAATAATGAAATTATCATACATCATGAAAATGTGCGATAAATCTTGAATAAAAATCAAAGAGCTCAATTCAGAATTGTCATGGTAACAAATAATTGCAATTCAAATAGCATACATAGAGAGTTAGAGACTGGTATTTACAGATCAGGTTAAATGGATATAAATTATCAACAGCATCCTATAACATATTATATATAATTTACCTTTAAAGTTTTGAATGCAAGAATTGAAGAAATGCATAATTTAGTCAAAATAAGAGAAGTTTATATACCGGTACGGCGGCAGTACCCCAATTTTCTATTTACATTTTTGTGTTTTGGTTAACCAGAAGTTGAGCAGCTGATACAACAAACAATAAGTTGCAAAAATAATAAATGCAAATACTCTTATGGTTCTATGCAATTTTCCTTCAATTACAAAACCAAATGATCTAAAAAAAAAAACGAAATTAACTTGTTTCTTAAGGTGTACATTTTAACTGGCCGTAAAAAAGGAGCAAAATATCACAATACATTTGTCTGGTAACTGGCCTATTTGCGGTATTAAAGCGAGAAGATGATAAATTAAATTTCTCATACAATCCTGCATATCAATATGAATATGATATTTGAATAATATGTTTTGCAAAACTAATCTGATATGTCCTGAAGAAAAAGTGAAGGTCAAAGGCATCATAAATGACCTGAACCTTAAAAAGTGGTGAAGGTAATTTTTTTACATATACTACAACTTTAAGAAGTCAATAATTCAATCAAGAAGATATAAACCTTAAAAACCTTTTACCATTTGACTAAATCTTAATTCTATGATTGTAGCATAATAATTTCGATTGTAATTTGTACTATTTTCTCAAATTGCTTATAAAACTGTTTGGAAAATCTGCTTTATGACTGTGTGGTAAATTTTTTTCATGAAAAGCAATGGTGACCCACGTTTAATGTAAAGTTTGATTAATAATTTTGAAATTACTGATTTTAGGCTATTCAGTTTTAACTGATGAGCTCATTAACTGATTAACACAGATTTATGTCTCCACTATGTAACCTCATAACACACTTTAACAAGCATTGACACAATTGATGTTGAAAACAGCAAACCTAAGTTTCAATTCTATAGCTTTCATTGCTGGTAAGACAAACATTACTTTGACTATTTCCTAGTTTACTGTAAGGCTCTGGATTTTTAATCTTTTATTCTAAATGAATGTTTTTTTTATTGTTTTTTTAGTTTGCAGGCATGAGGCATTACATGTATCTATTCAGAGAAAGGATCTCCCAAGGAAAAATATACTTTCTCGTGATGATTCTGGGCAAGTTTGCAACAAAAGTGACCCACCTTTTATGTAAAGTTTCATAACATATTCCATGAAGGTTAAACTAAGTTACTGATGTTTAAAAATATAAAATCCCAGAGTGTATCTAATTCATACCTGCCAATTTTTCAAAATCTTCATTGGGGATTTCAAGCACAAGAGGACCTAAAGCATACCTATACAAGTCATTAGTGTACTTAATTAGAACATCTATGATTTTGAATGGGCATGCATGTATTTAAATGAATTTTTCACTGTTCTGAATGCCTTCTTACATGTATTTAGTCTACACACATTGAGTTTTATAAGGGTCAGGTCAACACCTCTCATGGGGGATATCCCCCATAAAGCGGGAAAGTTGGCAGGTCTATTTGTTAACTGCATAAAACTATGTCCATCTATGAGTAAAATACTGAATTAAGAAAAACATATATTCCAAATTTTGCTTCAGAAATTATTTCTTAATCATAAAACAAAATATTGCCACAGTTTCATACAACTTACTAGGGTTTTGCTAAGATGATTTAAAAACCTTATATTTCAACAATAAATTAACCTAATAATTTAAATAATTTTCTACTTCAAATAACATACTAAGTAAGTCACTGGGTTGATTGACTTCACAAGTCAATCTTATTAGACAAAACCCTGTTCATTGATTGTTTTGGTTAAAAAAAAGTCCAGTAACTAACATTACAACAATATGCATAAATGTTTTTACAACTAACTGATGTTTGATCATGCATATGTTAAGTTATCCATCTGTTTCAGGCAGTTTGTCATACAGATCATCGTCATCCTCTATGAAATTTTGAGGTATACGGCCTGGAATTGCTGGAATGGTGGATTTTTTTTGCTGCTGTCCACCAAGCATATCGTTTAAATGTCTCATAAATGACTGTTCTGGAGCTAGTCTGGAAACTGAAAGATAAAATGCATGTCAATATCAGTATAAATAAACCTTGTTTCTACATTCTATAGAATTTCCTTTCATTAATGTTAAATTGAATTCTGGAGTATCAGAAAATTGTTGAAAAACATTATGCATCAGATGACTCAGTAGCAGACTTTCTGTCTTAAACTAGAGGCTCTAAAGAGCCTGTGTCGCTCACCTGGATCTATTCATTTACAACAGAGAAGATTAAAATATAATTCTTAACTATCATTTATATTGTTAATATTTTTACACTTTATACTGTTTGAACTGAATATTTTATGATATGTATATATATATATTTTGAGTTTTAAATATAGATTATTTTATCTTATCTTATCTTAAAATAAGATTCTGATTAACATGCAGAATTATTTTTTAAAGTTAAATAGAGAAATAATCTGATTAAAAAGCAGATCATGTGTCAAAGCTTTGCTTACAAGAATCTGACAGAACTTTTTTGTTCTGTAATTATTAAATGGATAGGAGTAGGCCCGGTGAGACCCCTTTTGGCCCCAAAATATGGCATTTTTGCAAATTTGTTGAAATTTAAACTTTTGGTTATTTATTGGAAAGTAGAATACTTTTGTTCCATAAATGTGGGCTGTTTTTGACAATACAATGCACATGCATCAGGTACTAGCAAATTAAATTTATGCAAAATTACTGAAATCTTCACAATTTTAGCATTTGCGCTAATTTTAAGAGGTTTTTGTCTAAATTGGAAGTGGCCACATTTGTGTTCAGTCTTAATATATAAATATATGTTGTATTTGTTGATAATACATAACATATATAAAGGTTGAGACTGAACATGAATGCGGCCACTTACAATTGGACAATAACCATCTGAAAAGTGTCTTTTAATGGCATATTTGATAGATTTTTCATATTTAAGCTTGAATTTGAGCGTCTTTAATCACCAAATCAGTTCAAATCTTTTTCATAAACTAATTGATTCGACTGGCGCAGATGTAATTTGAATTTTAGGCCATAACCAGCCCTTTCCGGACCTTCTCCTTTCAGCTTCAAATTTTTGAAAGTGTGCATTAATCTGATAAAGCTAGAGGACCCAGAAAGTTCTTTAAAACAGAAAGTAGAACGGAGCGTTTTCATATCCTTGTAAGCAAAGCTTAGATACAGGATCTCTATCTAAATCAGATTGACAGAGAAAGGACAGAATGATATTATATTAAACTGATATCATAACAAACAAATTATTGAACTACCATTTAAAAACAAACAAGTTAAAAAGTTAAAAATCTATCAAAAGCAAAGTTTTAGTAAAGAAATATCATTAATATTATACAAATGTATTAACTTATACATGAATATATTAAAAATTTAGTAAAAGCAAAGTTTAAATAAGAACTATGAATAATATATAACAATATTACTTAGGAAAAACTTCTGACTAACGTAAACAAAAAAATGTCTCTATAGTTTGAGGATTCCAACAATGACAACTAGAGGCTCTGGAGAGCCTGTCGCTCACCTGAACCTACTTGAGTTTTAGAAATCATGTAAAGATAGATAAAAATCATAACAGATACCCAAATAATGATTGAGGCCAAATTTGGTTTAATATTGGTCCCGTAATTTAATATTTAAATACCCTTTGGGCCAGGTGAGCTAAAAATGAACAACCATAGGTTTCTGGAATAAGGACCTTTATGAAAAATAAAGACAAATTCCTGAGGAATAACTAGTAGATATGGTTAACCCAATAATTGAACTATGCATTCTCAAATCATTGAAACGGATTACCAATTGATTACAAGTAACAGTTACTGTCTATTACATAAAAGCTTCATTTTACCATGACTGTATGTATGGACAGACATGGAAATTTAAATCTATAAGCTTAATAAGTCTGGAGTAAAAATATCATTCTAATGTAATCATTCAGTGAAGCTATGTTGTCAGATTGATTAGTCACCACAGACAAGAATATTTCCCAGATTTTTCAATTAACAAAATGTTTACCCAAAAATAATGACTTAAATGGAGTGTTTTGTTTATTGTGCTTCACAATGGAGATACGTTATTAGATTTGCATACAACTTGAGCATGTCAATCTTCAACTAAAAAATTGAAAGAAACAATGCACTTATCCCCTTTATTTAAAAAATAATTCAATGAAATCTTTTAAAATAGCACATATCTTATGTTCGTTCTATACAAATGCTAACCTTTTTCAAAGTTTTCATTCAATAAAATTTTAGCAAGGATAACACTTTTAAATGAATCTTTATCAATTTCAGTTAGATTCCAACATGTCCGTTGTATGCAAAAACATATGTTTCTGAAATCATTTGTTAATAAATTTAGAAACTATTAAGAAACTAAGGTTTCAACTCCCTGAGGCAAAGTTGACCTTAGATGGATTTGGCTTATGTTTTTAGGTCCTTTTTGGTCTTATAGCTCTCCAAATGTTTTGGCTCTTATACAAATTTGGCTTTCAAATATTCGGCTTTTGAGCATCCTGATGAAGGTAAATCCAGAAAAGCGCTTCGAACTTAGATTTTACTTCCATCTAAATGCAACCATAATTATCTTTAAAGCTAATATAATCACACTAGCACTATAATAAATGGCTGTTACATGTAAAATTTAAAAATGCATCAACTAATAATAATGGTTTAAGTGGGTTGTGAGAAACACATATATATCATATAATGCTATTAAAATTGAGGAACTATTTATCCAAAGCCCATGTGACTGTAATACCTTTTAATTGTTCTCTTATCTCAGGGCTGATGGTAGGTGTGCTCTTAGACCTTTGTCTTCCACATGCTACTGCAAAAAGCAAACTGGATTGTGCAAACATAACGCACACATAACATAAAACACACACAAAACATAACACACACATACAATGGCACTCTGGACTGCCTGCATAGTTTGTCATAAATTGTCATAATAAACTTCTTTGCCAAAATGTTTTGCAATTTTTTTTTGCACTGATGCTGTTGCCTTTCAGACACTGAAGGTGTTTGTAAAAGAATCTAGAAATTGTTCATATAAACATACTAAAGTAAAGTATGTTTAAAGAAAAGCTAGTCTGAATTGCCACTGTAATAACACTGAAAAGGGAGTTTACATATTTTTTGTACAGAAATTTCTTTTCTGTTGACAGTCTGAGGTATAATTTTTATGGCCTACATACTACATGACAATTGACAAGTCACAATCTTATTTCAGTGCTACATTATGTTAGTAAGATTGAAATTTATTAGCCAAGACAGAAATCTAATAATAGTTTGTTTTTTGTTATGAAGTTTGAAGAATAGAATAAAACACGAGGTAGAATGTAGCATTGAAATAAGAAGAAAAAACACAGAAAAGCATAATTTCATAATTATAGCGCTGAATACAGGAATAAGACTTTTGTTTATAACTTGTATATTTACAGCATAAATCATTGTTGTGTTCACAAATTTCTTGCAACTTTTCAGGTCAATTTTATTAAGAGCATTAAAAAATGCTTGTGTTTGCAGAAAGTGCTCTACCACCACCATTCTATAACTGCTACAAACCACTAAATAAGTTACTAATGTATGCCAAATATTCTAATGTTTTCTAACTTGGGAATAGCTAAATATTAGTCATACTTTTTTTATACATCAAACAGTTATTTTCAGGTGGGTTTCATGAACAGCAATTATGTGCCTTTCTTTATAATCAAATTCATTTGTGCAATGTTAAATATCAGAGAAAACGAATACTTCAGTGGCATCAACTGTTCTGATAGTTAATTGAAGAAGTTTATAAATATCTGCATACATTAATAACCCATTAAGTTCACATGTAACTTGCAGAGTGTTACAATATATTACCAGTACCAGTGACATTGCAGAAAATGTTTTGGCTAGACTTAAGAGGGCGGAAGGATCTTATTCAGGACATCTTGATTGGGCCTTTATTTTTGGGGAATTAGGGGTTTACACTTATCAACATTTTGGAATTAATGAGTAATTTTTCCGGATCTGCAATTAATTTTTTCCGGAAATTTAGGATTACACCTTCCTACCCTCACCACTTATGGTTGTCAATCTTTTCATTAAAGGGTACATCACAGCACTGAACTGTTCAATATTAATTGCTTTAACTTTTGTATTAAAAAATTGAACACAGATTTTCCTGTGTGAAATTCTTCATCATTGTTAATTTGGCTCTAGTATGACCAGTAAAATTTTTAACAAACTCTCCATGAGACAGAAAGTCTCTTTTTTTATTTCGAAAATTCAATCTTTTCTAAAAAATAGAGAACTTTCCTTGGACCACTTAAAACCAAGAAATTTATATCTTTGTTCAGTGAATTAAGAAATCTTGATGGTAGGTAATATATTGTTACACATATACAAATTCTACTTTCTGCTACCTATCAGATCCTGTTTCATCCCTTGAATAAAAATAATTACACCTGAAATAAATTTGTCTTACCTGGTGTTTTTGCATCATCATAAGGATTTTCATTACTTGGTTGGCTCTGTGTATTTAGGTAGGAATGATCCGAAGTGTTAGGACAAGCAGTAGGCTGAGAGGCTTGATTAGTTACAGATCCAACACCTATATGGGATATACCATTGATATAATATGTAAACATTAGACATAGAATATAGAGCTCAAGAGCTGAGTTATTAGAAATATCGTAGAGTGGTAAATTTTCATGAGAATTAATTTCTCTTAATTTTGAAAGTAAGATAAAATCATGAGGCCCCCCCCCCCCCCCCACTATGTACATATAAAAATACTAATAAAGACAAGAAAATCTTGTTGATAAAACCTCACGAACTAGTTCAATTAAAAATCAGAAAACTACAGGAAAATATACCACAATACAATATTTTCTTGTAATGAATACATATACCAACAACTTTTAAAAAATACAGAAAATATATGCAAGTACATGTATAATGAAAGGTAAATTACAAATATAGTGATGCTGCTTTATAGATTACAATGATCTACAATATGCAGATTATACAATATACAAGTCTTTTTTCAGAGCCATAAAGTTTTTTAAAATTTTAAAACATCCTGAAATCAAATTAAATTAAAATAAGCAGAAAATTTCAAGATATATTGTTTATTTTTCCGTTTAAGCAGTACAGACCTGTCAATTGTTTTTGTGGTGTTACATTTACTATCTTCTCAAATCTAGATTTTATGGAAGATACACCTCCTGGGTGAGACACATCAATTGCTGGTCCATCATTAGTTTTCTCTGGTTCACTGTCTAAAGACACACTTTTTCTAGCAGGTTTAAGACCCATTTGTTGTGGAGATGGAACAGAAATGGAATGCATGACAGGTGATTTTTCCGGAGATCTCATGATCGCACCCTTTGATGGATCTGGCTTTGTAGTATCAGTTTTTCTGAGACCTAACTGTTGTGGGGTAGGGACACCATCCCCAAAATTGTTAACTGGTTGAAACTGTGGTGTACTATTTACATGTTTTACAGATGGAGGTGGTGCGTTTGTAACAGCTGAAAAAAAAAATTATTTGTACATATTTTTATTTTGTGGAATTAAAATTCATCCTTTTAATTATGTATAGTCTTCATCTGTAGCAGTTCAATTTTTATTCAATTCCATAAATCGAAAATATATGGATTGAACTATCAGTAAAAGAAGCATAATTAACAGTTTAAGAAGTTTACATGTGATCTCTTTCAGTCTGAGATATTTTTATCCTCATTACTGAAGATGTATTTACTTAATTTTCAGTGCTGCACAAAAATCTTCTTGGTAAAAATATTGGGTCTCCATTTTTTTAATTTTTATCTTTCATTGTTGTGTGTACTGTAAGCTCTGGTATTTTTACCCTTTAATTTTGTGATTATACTTTTGACTAGTTTTTAATTTTTTAATTTAATGCCTATAGCCACAATTATTTTTTTCATTTTATTATAGGTCCTAAAGCTTCAATTTTTTTGTTATCTATTTGCAAAGATGCTGTCATTATTCAGTTTGTATATAGTACTGCCAATGTCACAGGAGAAGATTAATATGTCATGTCCAAGACATAATTACAACCAAACTTTTACCAGGAGTTAAACTGACTTTGTTTTTAGTTTTTTAAAATGCTGTTCTTAAAAATGTCACATGTTTGAAACCAAAATTGCTCAGATAGATTTCAGGTAAATCGAAGGAAAGTCACCTGAAGCAAGATATTTCATCTGATCAGTACTAATTTCAATACCTTATAAAAATCGTTTTAATATTTCCGTGACCAGTGCACGAAAATTTGTTAAAATCTGTAGAAATTTGAGTGTAACAAAATTTTTGAATACTGAAAATTCATCTATTTTCGTATATACAAATTTTTGCAGATTAAGGAATAATTGTTTTTTTTGGTGTATATTTAATTTTGTGGTTTTGCTAAAGTCTACATACAAGCCTTAGAAAATTTGTACTTCATTGAACAATTTGTAGTCACCCTTTACCCACGAAATCAACAAAAATTGGTTTCCCATGAATAAAGAATCCACAGTAAAAACTTTATATACATTTTTTTAACAGAATAATTTGCAAAGAGAATATAAACAACCACAAATATTTCTAAAAACTATCACTTTTGAAATATTATAAACAATACCATTGAAGGTCATATTACATACAAAACTTTATCCAAGAAAAATGAACATTGTTTTATGATAATGTACAGCTTCCTACCTTTCTTATCCAACACTGGGATTAGTTGTGCATTTTGTAGTTGTTGAGCCAAATTTGGCACCGACTTAGCCCTCTCATGTCGTGGTGGTGGGGGTGCTAAAGTAAAAAAAAATCATATTTACATACAGTTCTAAAAATATTCAATGAATGATAATATTCTTAGTTAAAGAAATCAAAGACTTTTGTTTGCAATTATTTCTTATAACATTTGCTTTCCATTATGTATGCAAAGCTTTCAAGCATTGCTGTTTAAATCCGTCCCTATTTCATGGAAACTAAACTAAACAGTCTAAAAAAGGTTGTATTAGTTATATAACTATGCTCAGTGTATAGATAAAATGCCTAACCATGTTAAAATGAGCATAGAGCATGACTTATATCCTAATTTATGCATAAACCTTATATTATGATCAAATTTGAAGTAGTTCTTGAAGACTTAATTTTCTAGGCCAAAAATGGTCTTGTATGTCCTTCTTCTATCCTGATAACTTACCAGGTGGTATTGTTGGCTCCTCATTGACATATGATTTGGTTGGAATAGGTTGGTGAGGTGCTGGTGGCAGGGGCACAGCTGTGTGTGGCACAGGGGGTGCCGGAAATAAAGGAAAGTCTTCTGCAATAAAATGTCAAGCTATGTCTGAAATCCACAGTACAAATATTCTCTTTAAATGTAAGCATTCATTTTTCTGTAACTAAATAGAAACTGAAATAAATAAGTCCCTTTTTTGACTCAAATTTACTTCCAACAGTCAAAATATGAGAATATTTGGGTAGCAAGTTGGTGGTTTCTTATTTTTTCATCTCCTCTTCCCTTGACTTACTAGTCATTTAAAAAAAACCAAAAAACTACGACACCTGTCTCGTGATTTATTTTTAATCCTCAAAACAGTATAGCAAAATTTTGATCACAAATAATTTCAATACTACTGTAATTTTTGTTGTAGAAAATTAAGAAAAATCCCCTACCCTTATTAGTTATAATTTGTGAAGGGATCTTACTTTGTGGATTGTTGTTGCAATTATCTATGTGCATTACTAAAAAAAAAGCATAGAAGAAGGAATGAAAGTAGGCTATAAGTCAATGATACAGCAACTTAACAATACAAAAAACTAGAACAAAAATAAAGCCCACAACAAGCCTTTCAGCACTGAATTTTATGAGTGAACAGTATTTTGTTGTTTGCACTGCAAGTTTCTCATGTTTGTTATACAAATGATGCCCCTGCATGTTTTTGAAGATACATATAGAGAACAGTTGATCTGGACCAAGTTCAGGTATACTTCCATAATTGATTAACAAAAACATCTCAGAGGTGATTACACAGTGATTTTCGTATATATTGCTCTGAATGGCCCTTAGTCTAAACAAAGTTAGTTTTAATTGCGAATACAGCAATTAAGGGCATTATGTTCAGCTCTGAATGGCCCTAAATCTAAAAAAGCATGGTTACAAGTGCAGATATGGGAATATAGAGTTTCAGGTATCTCTCACCTTGTCTTTGTAGATCTTGTAGATTAATGTAATCCTCCGCCCTGGCAGGTTCATCAAATGGGTCGATTGTTTTATCAAACATATCTATAGCAGCTGCAGGTAATATAAAAATTGTTATAAATCATTTCAGTTTTATAAATAACAACATATAATAAAAAGATACATGTATTTTTATCCATTAATAGAATAAACTGATTCATATAGTTATTTATTAAAGCCGTGGCAATGAATGCTGGTTGTTCTTTAAGACGAAAGTAATACTATTTACACTCTAAGACTAATACTTCTAAAAAATGTATTTGTCATTTAGTACCACTTGAAACCTCAAAATGAAGTAAATATAGTAAAAAAAAAACCTTTGAAACACTTTTGAGAAGAATTTTGAATGGAAGGTGTTCAAGTAGAATGAAACTTAAACATTAGTAACTAATCATTATACAATTTCATACCAAATAGGATTTATATACCTGTTAGGAGAGTTGACGACAACAGAAAAAATATCATTTTAAAGAAAATATCTGTTGTAAGCATGGCCTAGACATTCTAAAGCTTAGCCCATTTACGTAGACTCATGCACTGCTGAAGTTCTACATTGCAATATTCCTACACCTTCTCTTCATGATTAAGATAAAATAAGTGAAATAGTTCTAAATATTTCTTTATTCATTGTCTGGATTACTGCCAGTCATCAGTCTTTACAATTGCCACAAAAATTAATAGACCACTTTGGAGTTATGCTCTTCACCGGAAAAGTTCGTCAATTATGTGTGCCTTTATGATGTCATTTACCAGATAGAGGGGATTGCCTGTATCCCTGCACTATTAAAGTTCATCAAGCGTCTTCGTGATCATCATTATGCAGGATAAACTAGAAATAATGTTTGTCCCATAGGTACTTAATCACAATTCCCTAATGACAGCAGTCCTGATTATCAATTATAAGAATTTAATTTGCAGAATGATTCATGCAATATAGCATCATATTTTTTCAACTGCTTCTCTACATGGGAAGGAAGTGAGGATGCCTCTAAACGCATGAATGATGTTTACTAAAACCAAAGTTTTTGACGGAAACGCAACTAACTCGAAATTGGTCTATTCAGGCATTGTTTCAGATTTCACAATGAAAATATATCAAAAAACATATGCTGTGGATTTAGTATTATTCGTTGGATACCAATTTTCGTGGGTTTCATGGGTACAGGTAAACCACCAATTCAAATTTTCAACGAATTAAAAAATTTATATAGGCTTTGTATACAGAGATTGCTAAACCACGAAATCAAATATCCACGAAAACACAAGTTTTCCTCAATCCACGAAAATTGATACCCACGAAAATAAATGAATCCACAGTATACTGTTTATGGTCTTACAACAAAATATTCACTGCGATTTGCTCCATAAATTTTTACACTTTCAAAACCAAGCTAGATAGATGTATGTATGGACAGCAACAAAAGCCAAGTGATGGAAAAGTTGACATGGCCTTTTAGGCCAGGTGAGCAAAAAACTGATCTGAAAATCATCATTTCACTCTAACGTTTTTAACTTTTCGTGACTTACACATCATGTGACAATTCAGATTACTGTAAATTCAGTAATTGTTGTGAGGTTTTTACTAATGCCGCTGAGTGAGTATCACAATAATAACTCACATTCTGATATCTGAATCATATATCTGTATGAAAATTTTCCTACGATCATATATTAATCTCACATTTTTGTCTGTTCTTCAAAAGTCCCAATAATAGATGCACACAATAATTTCTGAATTTACAGAATTCAAGTCATTTTAATCAGCTGGCATCTTGTGCTAAGTCAACAACTTGTACGTTTAGTTCATATCAAACAATTTCAATTTATCAAAAAAACAATCAACTTAAAAATATGATAATAATAAATAAAGCTACATCTAATAAAAAGGATTTTACAAAATAAGGGTAAAAAGTAAAGTCTCAGTAATGTTAATAATGTGGTGTTTCTTATGTTCGTGATAGAAACCACCAAATACTGCATAGAATAAAATATTAATATTTTGGAAGTTAAATGGTGATGATTGAGGCAGACCAAGATTTTTATTTTAATAGACATCACATTATTTTATTTAAATAAACATTCTACAATTGTGTATTCAGTGAAAACATTGCTTACATATGGTCAAATAAATTACATTAAATGACTGCTTTTTCTGAAAATGTAATTTAGACATATATGTGTAAAATGGCTCTTTTTGCATTTAATTCATGTAAACCTTGGTCTGTCACCATTTCTTATACGGTGGATTCATTTACCTAGAAGTACTAGTTTTTATAGATTCCATTTGTAGTGGTGAACCACAAATTCCAGAGTGCAACAAAATAGAATTTCTAGTAGGTTTGTATGCAGAATGCAAAAAACCTGAATATTAATTTATTTTCAGTACCCAAGAAAATACAATTTTTCTCAAATCACAATTTGTACCAATAAAAACACATGAATCCACAGTATACATTATATCTACACAGATCTACCTATACAAGATAACCCCCATGACAAACCTGCTGCTTTGATGTTTGTCTGGATATCATCCAGTGATGGCTTCCCTGCTCGTACTTTATAATCACTAGCTGCTCTTGTTGTGTTGTATGAATGGCGTGCTTGCTGGTAATTAACTACAGGCAAAAATAGCAGCCATATATTCATGGATTGATATTTTGTAATCAGGCAAGGCACACAAAATAAACATAGGCAATTAAGACATATTCAAAATAAATGCAATTAGAATTTCCAAAATTTACATCAATATAAATTTTCAGTAATGAAAATTTTGAACATTTAAGATGCAATTTTTTTACAGCTCTTCTATAAAAGCATGAAAAGCAAACCTTTGATCAACTTTCTTGCTATGTTTGTTTGGATTTTTGTAAACAAAAGGTAGGTAGTCTGTTTCAGTCTGTTCACTATATAATGGAATTTGATTGGACAATAAACATTAACTTCATTGCATGTCAATTTTTATTGTCCAATCAAATCCCAGTATATATAAAACAGACTGAAACTCCGCCTACCTATTGTTTGCAAACATCCAAGCAAACATAGCAAGCAAGTTGATCAAAGGTTTGCTTTGCATGCTTTTATAGAAGAGCTGTAACCACTTCTTTACATTGCATTTATCTTGAAATCCACCCATAGCAGACTTTATGAAAAGTTTGCCATAGCTGTAAACAATGTGCTAAACATTTATTTACAAAACTATATAGGTGTAGCTAAGTTGTACTGTAGGCAGGGATTTTTTAAATATTTTCTCGTACAAGTGCACATGCAACATGATGTAATGTAAATATTTTTGGATATTTTTATCTTTATTTTCAAAAACACAGATATGGTGTAATATTTTGTAAATCGAAAAAGACATGCAGATTATATAAATAACCTTTTGACACAAGGATATGTCTTGCCTGTGTATCATTCCCTGGTGTAATATGTTAACTATGCAAAAAGTAAAATAACAAAAATACCGAACTCCAAGGAAAATTCAAAATGGAAAGTCCTTTATCAAATGGCAAAATCAAAAGCTCAAACACATCAAACAAATGGAAAACAACTGTCATATTCCTGACTTGGTACAGGCATTTCCTTATGTAGAAAACCGTATCAAAGTGAATTATCTATGACTAACAGAGTGGGCCAAATATTCTTCATGGAAATAAGATGTACCAATGGTAATACAAATATCATGACTTTCATGAGTCTTATCTAACTTTAATAGTTGTTGATGTTGCCGTCTTAAAAAAGCTGCCTTAAAAAACACATGGCAGTTTTACTGGCGACGCGTAGCAGAAACAGTAAAAGGAATATTTGCAACCATCAATTGCATTACAGTTTTTCCCATTCTAATGCATTACAAAAAGAAACAAAACATTGGAGTTTGAAAAAATGTATAAATTTCAAATAAAATAAAATTCTGCAAAACTACATGAATGATTTTGGCGCATAGACATCATTGCTTAACCTGACGTCATATAAATGAGAACTTACAAACTGAAGATTATTATGCTTCTTCTAAGATTTAAATTCTGATAAAACAACATCAAATGGTGTTTTTGAAGAATATGTTGTTTTATTTTTGGTAAAATTGTAGTAATCAAACATTTGTTGATCCAAGCAATTCTAAATGGCAAGTCACTCCTAAGTTAAGATATGTCAACTGTGGATTTGATGGTAACTATAAGCCAATGAAAAAAATTGTTCCATAAAAATTGCATTAGAATTATCTATATAAAAACTAAAGGCTCTAAAGAGCCTGTGTCTCTTACTTGGTCTATGTGCATAATCAACAAAGGACACTCTCCAACATTGTAGACGAGAATAGAATTCATGACAAAAATCTCTGTTTTGTTGATCATGTATTGCTGATCATTTAGTCTGTTTAGTTTCTCTCTATCTTCTTCAGTTTTTGCTCAAAACACAAAAGTGTCTATTTATCTATTGTAATTTTCATCATATAAGGCAAAATAATGTTAAAAATCGTCATTAAAGGGAAATAACTCCAATAAGGAATCGTCTGATGATTTCCTCATATTGTCTTAATTGAAGATCTTGTCTTGCTGATCATTTTGTGCTTATTTAAGTTTCTATCTATCTATTATAATTCTTAAGATATAATGTAAAATTGGTAAAAATCGTCATCAAAGAGCAATAACTCTTATAAGGAGTCGACTGACGATTTCTACCATGGCATGTTCAACTTATTTGTTGAACTTGTCTTGCTGATCATTTTTGCAATTTAAAATTCCTCTCTATCTATTTTAGTTTTCAAGATAATAGGCAAAAATGAAAAAAAAAAATGGTAAAATTTGTAATTTAAGGGCAATTACTCCTAAAAGAAGTCGTCTGACAGTTTTGATGTATATGAACAATTGGTAGAAATCAACATTCTGAACAATTTTGTTTCTTCAGATTTTCTCTATTTATAACGATTTTCAAAATGATAGACAAAACTTGCATTTTACCCCTATGTTCTATTCTTAGCCATGTCGGCCATCTTGGTTGGCAGGCAGGGTCATGGGACATAATTTTTAAACTAGATACCCCAATGATGATTGTGGTCAAGTTTGGTTAAATTTGGCCTAGTAGTTTCAGAGGAGAAGATTTTTTGTAAAAGTTAACAGACAACGACGGACGACAGACGCCAAGTGATGAGAATAGCTTATGTGGCCCACAGCTAATAAAAAGATGTGGTTGGAATGTCAATTTGACACTTATGCACCAGAAACCAAGGGATGAGGATATAAAAAAGAATAGATTAGGTAACTGTGTGGCCTTCAACTACCCGCATGACAAAATCTAGTCATTTGACAGTTTTTGGCATAGATTTCATGAACAAGTTACTTCAATTTATTATTTTTTTTAAATATGATTCTGCATGAAATATACAGTGATCAAATGTAATACTTATAGCTATATGTATTTATTACTGGTCAATCTTTTCTGTGAAATAGATATATACAAGCAGATACAACATAATCTATTTAAATACACATCATAAATAAGTAGATAAAAAGGAATATTCAATGATTATGCAGGAATAGGACTAGATTGTTTATATAGTCAAAAAATTGTTTTATATCACTAGCTATTAATAAAAAAAAAAAAAACTTGGCAAACGATTATATTTTGTGCAATGCATGATTTATAGTGACCAAAACAAGTTATATCAAACTAAAAATCTAGCCTATCCTCATAAAAGTTATGAAATAGAATATGTATATACCAGAACTTTCTTCACTGTAACTTGCTACAAAAATACACAAAACACCCTTGCATTGATGAATGTACTAATTACTGCAAAAACACAACCCATTCCACTTATATATATATATCAGTAATATGAAAATGAAAAAAACATATATTTTCAAAAGTTTGCTTTAGACATTATTAATTGATGTGTAACAAACTTTAACCCCAGACTGAATCTATTTGTTCAATGAAAAAAAACAAACAAAAAAAACATGAAGTCCATTTATCAGTTAAATACAGAAAAATGAAAATAAACATTTTCAAAATTTTTGCTCTGAATACTGTATTTTGGTCATGACTAAGCTTCTGTCCAAATTTCCTAAAATTCCATTATGATTTGACAAAGTTATTGACGACTGAAAAACTTAATCCTCAGATTGTATCTACTTGTTAACTGTAAAAAAAACTTAAGTCCATTTATCAGCAAAATACGGAAAAGTCAAAATAAATATTTCTAAAATTTTGCCCTGGATACTGCCTTTTGGTCAGAACTAAGCTTCTGTCCAAATTTCCTAAAATTTTACGAAGGGTTGACAAAGTTATTGATGACTGAAAAACTTTAACCTCTGACTAAATCTTAACTGTAAAAAAACTAAGTCCATTTATCAGTAAAATACGGAAAATTGAAAATATTGATATTGATACTATATTTTGGTCATAATCTAGCTTCTGTCCAAATTTCATATAATTCCATAGAGGTTTGACCAAGTTATTGATGTCTGAAAAAACTTTAACCACAGACTGAACCTAAATGTTGACGCCGCCGACGCTGACACCTACACTGACGCCAGAATCTAGGACCACAATGTCTTGCTTTCATGAAATAAATTTCGCAGGCTCAACAAAAATATAAAATGTATTGCAGTTTTTTTGTGAAATTTTTATTGAGAATTTCACAATGTAAAATTGGATTTTTCAAAATCTATCATTGACCAATATTTATTTTTTAAACTTCACAACATATTTTATTCAAATACAATTCAGTGAGAAGTTCTGTTCTTTTTTTATGGAATGAGTTGGCAGCATCTAAAAACAAAACGTGACTTATGTCCCCTTTTGTAGTGGCAATCATAAGAGATTTATACTATTTCTGGCAAATGACCTTATTAAAGTGCATTATTGTATGTTGTCATTCCTTCCTACACAATTATCATGCTTCCTGACCCAAATCTAATATCCAGCTTTCCCCATGCAGGAAATCATGCTTAAATTACGATTGAAGAATCATTCAAAATTTGTACTTACAATTATCATAATCATCATCTACTGCTGTTTTTTAAATACATCAAATTTTAAAAGTTGTGCAAAAACAATTAAGGTACAGGATTGGCTTTACTCTATAGGCCATTCTATTGCCTAATAAAGTGATACAGCTGATTAGTAAAAAATACTGAATATGCTCATTTTGGAGTTTGTTGAAAACCATCTGTTGACCTCTAGATGATATTTTTTTTTAGTCATTGGTAGCTGTCTTATTGAAATATACCTGCCTTGTTTATAAATATAAAATTAAGATAACTATGATTCTCAGGAAAATGAAATCAGATATAAACAAATAGACTTTTTATTGATGAAATACATCTCTATAGCTAGACATGTATCTTTGTGCAAATTTTTCTTTAAAAATGCCTCTTAATTCTAATATCTAATAGAAAATTTAATTTTAAGTTTCAATAACTTATGATGCTATTTAAAAAATCTCCTACTCAATTTCATGTGTAAAACTCACAAAAATCTCTATCTTTGATAGGCGACAATGATTTTCTATTTCACATAATTAATAAAAAAAAAAAACATTAATACAATCAAAAAGTTTATAATTGAGCTGAAATTCAGTTTATATGGTCTAAAATTAGTAAAAATAGTCAAGAAGTAAATTCTATGTACATTTTGTTATTTTATGTATTTTTATTATTTTGTGTGTGTGTCTTTTCCTATTTTGATTGTGTTGTAGGATTAACTTATTGCTTCACTGGTGTACATATCTTTTTTCAGATTTTTATATCTTCTAGTGCAAGAACTTACATTTGGCACTTGAAGGTGTAACAGTTTTGTGCCCTTGACGTGATATGAGCTGTGGTCTGGACTGAACTGGTTCTTCATAATCTGAAAGAAAGAAGGTAATGTCATTTATTTTGATATTGCAATTCAACTGGTTTTGAAATCTTTATACATCTGTTTAAATATTTTATTTGTAATTAAGATATATTTCGATATCTTCGATATCTTCAAAGATATGGGTAATCTGTTCCCTTGGTATGACACATACATTTTGTGGTTTTCCTTCATAGATTTTGATAAAATTAGATTCAAATGGTATGTTGATTACCCTGTCAAGTAGTTTTGTATAGAATGCATTTTATGAGAATTCTAATCTCTGCAGTAAAATTTTATGCCAATTTCCAAAATTAGCGTTTTAGACTTTTTGATTACCAACAATTACCAGACATTATATATATAACCACTATCCAAAGTGTCAACCACATACCATATGCATGGAGAATTTTTATGTTATCTATCACAAGTTAATCGCTAAAAAACTATCTGTAAAGTAACATTTAAATACATGCTATTTTTAAAAGTACCTGCTAAGATAAGTTCTGCCATTTTCTTTCTAAAGAACAACTACAAAAATATTTGCAAGACATGTGTCTGACTGGCTTAACAAAATCAATTGGCATCAAATACAGTTTTATACAGAGAAAAAATAATGGTATTCTTTTTACTTTAGGTTACTCGTCACTTATGGTGTAGAACTCATTCAAAGAATAGAGTTAGACTTGAGTTAGGTCTTCTTTACGGTAAGGCTTTAGGATAAGGAATTTTGGTCTAAGATTAAGATTAGACAGTAAGAGTGGATAGTTTGCAGATTGTTATAATGCATAAACTTTTTTGATCATCAGTTAAATTTAAGCTTTGAATGATACATGCACCCTTCACATCAATATTATTGTGTTTTAAAAATTATTTGTGCTGGGTATATTTTCAGGTATTTAATGTGGTCACAAAATAAGCAACTTCCAGGTTTAGAGTATTGGCAATATAGCCCTAATTCTGAGATTTCCTTAAGTAATAGAAGATCCAAATAAAGCATTACTCATGTGTTATGTGGGCCTAAGGATGGTATGATACAGTGGGAAGAATCAATATTTTGGTATGGTAAACCCAAAAAAACACATCTGTGGGCCAGGTGAGTTAAAAAGCAGGTGCACAACTTCATGTCCTGTTAAAAAATCTGTGCTAGTTTGGTTGAATTCTGTGAAGCAATTTTCAAGGAGTCGTGAATAAAAGTGTGATACAGACAACATGGAAGCAAGGCAACAGAAGTGATCTCAATGTGTCGCCCTAGCTGAAAATTTGTGCTGTTACCAAACACTTTGGTTAAAAAAGAACAAGAGAACTCTAACAAAACAACCTAAATAAATTCTTCACTTACAAGTCGACTCTAATATTAAAAGAAATATATAAAAATAAGCAAAACTGTCAGATGAAGCCTAACTGCAACTGTAGAAATTCCATGCAAAGTAACCCAATCAACATTAAAATTATAGTAAATGAAAAATAAATATTCTATCTTGTACCATTAAAATTAATGAGGCAAAAAGCATTTTTACCTATGTTTAGAGAAATTCTGAAAAATATTTGATATATCTTAATTCATTTAATCGATTTATAATATCTTTGAACTTATAGCTATAATATACATAGAGTAACTTCTAAAATCTTCATACCAAAAAATATTCATCAAGAGTTGAACAAAATTTGGTAGTATGTACATTTTAAATCAAAATGACTGTTTTTATACATTTATACATTTTGTAATTTTCTATCCATGTTGAAGTGCTGTCACTGTCAGATTATTGATTCTTTTCCTTGCTATCATTATAAATTAAATGAATTTTGACTCTTATCAGTGTCATAAAAAACAATTAAAAATGATATGACCTTCCACAACATTTTGTCACAGGGGAGACAACTTTATCTCATTTGTAATGTGCATATATTACTGTAATTCAGTAATTATCATACATGAATCAGCTTCAGGATACAATAGTCCTTTTTCATATTACTGACTTTTGACTCCAAAGTATATAATTTTTCGACAGGTTACCTAAATTAAATTTGTGGTAGAACATTCTGGTACTCAGTCAAGTAAGAGCAACTAAAAGAAGGTAAATCAAGCTTACAGTCAGCGAATTTTGGGGGAAAAATAATTGTCTTATGTTTTCTATACACGAAAAATGAAAAGAAAACATTTAATTTTCCTCAAAAAATTGCCCAGATTGTAAGCTTACTTTACATCTTTTAGATGCTCTTACTTGACTGAATACCAGAATGTCCTACCACAGAATAGGTAACCTGTTGAAAAATTAAATACTACGGAGTAAAAGTCAGTAATATGAAAATAGTCTATTCAATAACAAATACAAGTAGAAACGAATGACACACAAACATTACCTGGTGGTGGTTCATTCAGTATGTCAGCTACTGTATCTGTATAAAACAATGTCAGCTTGTGTTAGAAAAAGCAACAGAAACATGCAAATACCTAACATTATATACTATGGATTCATTATTATTCGCTGGATACCAATTTTCGTGGGTTTCGTGGGTACAAGTAAACCACGAATTCAAATGTTCAACAAATTACAAATTTTTCATAGGTTTTGTATGCAGAGATTGGTAAAACCACGAAATCAAGTATCCACGAAAATGCAAGTTTTCATCAATCCACGAAAATTGATACCCACTAAAATAAATGAATCCACAGTAACTGCATTGCTATAAAGAGGTAACAGATTATTTGAAGAACATTATTTTTTTCCATAACATTTCTATTGGTAATTCTATTTGAAATGTATAATAGTATACATAAAGGTCAAAGATTAAACTTCAAGGTCATATCAGTAAACCTCAACAATTATTGCGAACCCAATGAAAGTTTTCCACAGTGCCATCTCTATCTTGACCAGGTATTTAAACTTTTGCAAGTTCACCTGTCCTATTGAATAGATACAATAGCTATTGTTCTCTGTGTAGTTTATTCTCTGGGACCTTCAATAAATTTCTTCTAAGAGAAATCTATCATTCATTGATTAAATTACCTGAGTAAAAAAAAATTCTTATATATAGACAAAAATACTGTTTTTATACTCATTAACTGCATGTGATGATGTAGTTATTCAATATTAATAATATATTTTCATTCAGTTTAATATAAACATTGATTCAATCATAAAAATTTGATTTCTGACAAAACTTTCAACATTGTTCCTTTTAAAAAAAAATTTGTTTGACATGAATAAGAACTTGAAAATAATGATGTTTCAAATTAAGATCTTCTTAAATGTATTCTATAACTAAACAAAAAAAAATCAAATTTCAATAGGAACATTGATAAAACTTTTGTTAGAAATCAACTTTTTATGATTGAATCAATGTTTATATTAAACTGAATGAAAATATATTATTAATATTGAATAAATACATCAGCACAATCAATTAATGAGTATAAAAAAAGTATTTTTGTCTATATATAAGAATTTTTTTTTACACATGTAATTTAATCAATGAATGATAGATTTCTCTTAGAAGAAATTTAAAGGTCCCAGTGAACAAACTACACAGAGAAAAATAGCTATTGTATTCATTCAATAGGACAGGTGAACTTGCAATAGTTTAAATACCTGGTCAAGATAGAGATGGCACTGTGGAAAACTTTCATTGGGTTCGCAATAAAAGCTTTCTGTAGTCATGTAACATTACCCCTTTAAAGCATCCTAATAATTAGATCAGTGCTGATTTGTGTGTATTTCAAAAACTTTAAAAAATGGTAAATTTACACAAGTTTTACATTTTTATCAATTGGAGTTAGAAAAATAACTTTTCACTGACAAAACATTATTATTACAGTATCAAAGTATAATCTTAGACATGGACAACTCCACAATGTCAGCAGTGACCCACAGTGATAACTAAGAGAACAACATTGGCCTTCTTTTACATTATTGGACCCTGACCATATAGGCCAAATCTATCACTTTCCTGACCTAAAAACCGTAACCATAATTCTTACTTTAGTTTTTACCTTTAAACAAACCTAGACTTAACCCAACACTAATCCATAACAGAACCCCAGCCATATCTACTATAAACTTCACCTCAACATAAACCTTAACCCTTATTCCAAAACCCTAACCCTAACAGAGCCTTTCCCATACCACAAACCCTACACTCACAAACTCTACCATAACCCTTACCTCTTTCTGAACCCAAGCATTATTTATGTTTTTTTCCTAACCCTTAACCTAAACATACCCGGTTAGCTAAGTCCAACTTTTTCAAAACTCTAGCCCCAAGGTAAAGGTCCCCTAACAAAAAAGAAGGCCACAATATAATTTACTATGGATCTATTTAATTTGTGGTTACCAAATTTTGTACTTCAAAGAAAATATTCTTTTTAATCATGTGTGTTTTTCTATCATTTATACTAATAATATCAGCCAAAAACTCAATCTAGTATTATGCCTCTATTAAAGTTGGCAAAAATTGGTATCCAGTGATATAAAGAAATCCTAAGTATGTGAAATAGTGATAAAACAATAAAAACATGTTACTATGTTAAGTCAAATCATTTAAAATAAGCTTTTTGCTGAGACTCTCACCTTCTTTTTCTGTTAAAAAATATTCAATACATCTAACTTATTATAATTATTCATGTTTTATGGTAACCTTGTAATTTTTTATTGCAAATTTTTAATTCATTTTTTTTTGTATGCATATTTGTGAATATTTTCTTGTGTAGAATACTATACTGTATTATCTTACAAGTTATTTCATTTGATGGAAGGTATGCAACTATAAACATGAATTAACTCTTTCCTTGTACATGTAGGAGAAAACTTTCAAAATTATAAAATGAAGTAAAGTTTGGCTTTCAATGGACCCTCAATGTCAATTTCTAGATGCAAGTCTACATATGAGGCAGTGGTATCTTTTATTTCAGGTTCCAGTGAATAGGTGAATTTAACATCGTCACAAAACTTTCAATTATTTAGTGAGAAGATATCATCCTAATATCAGAATTTCAAATTATAGGATAATGCTAGATTTTTTTTTACTCATCCTGAACAGATTTTGTCTGAAGTCTACCTTATATGAATAATAAAACAAGTAAACAAGAAGACAAGCACAGTTGGTTTCCATAGGAATGCAGATTATCTTTTGAAAATCAGAGTGTCATTTTAAGTATGATTTATCCCTTTCCGAAACAAGATATTTGTATCTATGTTGTATCAATATTGAAAATTAACCTATCAGTGAAAGAAGTTTCTCATTTGTTCAACTGACAAAATTTAGAAAGAGAATGGAATTTCTCACACTTGAACAATATCCTGATTTTTATATCCAATATGAACCCATGAAAGAACCTATCTGCCTATGCACTCACTCCTACCTTTACCTTTGTACTGATTTGGCTTTGAAAATAAAAACTGAACTTACACAAGAGGAAACAACAATACAACATAATAAACTGTAAAGTCAGCAACTTTTGAAATTTTTTTATTATTGCAGAAATTGCAACAGGAGAATTTTGCCAAAAATAAAAACTTGCATTTTAACTTTTGATTGCAACATTTGTACGGGTATGTAAATTTCCTTAAATCTCAATAAATAATCTTACATTTTTGTCAGTTGTTCAACAATGCAATAAAAATTTCTGAATGTACAGTCTTCAAATGGACACATAAAAATGATTTTTTTTTTTCTTTAAATCTATTTTTACAGATGTTATCCATCTCATGTTGCATACCTGCAGGTTGTAATCTTCCAGTATTATATGGGTCTTCAACCATACCAAAGTCACCCAATCGATTAGTGGTAAGAGGGTTGGTACCATACGTTCCTGATGTTGTTACAAAGTAATTCATCACATTTGTTAAATTTCTCATTGCCTCATGCTGTAAAGAGATCAATTAAATCAGACTAAAAATTTAGGAGTATTGAAAAAAGTTATAAATTGTTACATAGAACCATCAGTCTTGTCTACAATTGCTGTTGTTAGAGTCAAAGTGTACCGTTAACGGCAAAAAAGTTAAGTTCATTTAATAGTATAATCAGAAAAATATCAAAAAATAAAAAATTTCTTAGGTTGCTATTTCTTGATCTTGAAGAAACTTTTGTCCAATTTTCATTACATTCCAAGAAGATTTGACAACGTTATTAATGTTTTAAATTTCAAACACAGACTGAACCTAAATGTTGAAGACTATTGTGCTATTTCATGGCGGTCAGTTTTTATTGGTGGAAAAAGCCTGAGTGCCTGGAGAGAACCACCTACCTTCGGTAGAAAAACTCACAATCTTAGTCAATTAAGCTTGGACTTGATAGCATGTGCAGGATTCAAACTCAAGACCTCAGTGTCCACAGGATAGTGTTACAGTAGTTTTACTACATAGACCACTCGTCCACCGAGGCCCCAAATTTTAAGTATAGATAGTTTTCCATTGACATAATTTGAGTTAGAGTTATTTCCCTTTGCTGCTGTGTTAGACAGTCAACTGTAAAAATCAGGAGATGTGGTATGATTGCCAATTTGACAACATCTACCCAAGTTCAAATGAAGTGGATGTAAGCAATTATAGGCAACTGTACGACCTTGAACAATGAGAAAAACCAATACCGTATAGTCGTCCATAAAAGGCCCCAACATGAAAAATATGAAACAACTAACAGCCTAATTTATAAAAACAAATATGACAGACATGAACCAGCGACAACCACTGAACTACAGGCTCCTGACTTAAAGAATGTGGCAAGGTTAAACATGTTTGTGAGCGTTCAACCCTCCCCTTACCTAGGACAGTGGTGTAACAGCACAACATAAGAACAAACTATAAAAATCAGTTGAAAAAGGCTTAACTCATTAAAGCAGAAAAACATCAAACAAAAACACACACAGGACGTGGCAGGGTATTTATCCATCTCTCATCCCTAACAACAAGTGATTGTGTTAAACATGTTTGCCTTGTTAGACAGTCAACTCTCAAAATTGACCAAATTATTAAATGGTATGATAAAATCAACACAATCAGTTAAAAATGCACCATTTTAAAAGATAAGTTAGTATTGGCCCCAGTATAGATTCAAAAATCTCACATCTATATGAACATGATGAATCTATACCAGGACAAAAAGAAACAGCAAGTTAATAACACTATTGTACAAACTTGATTTTCAACTTTGATCTTGTAGCCTCTCTCCACTCTTATAACTTCATAATGTTCTATGGAAGACCTCCTGAAATTAGAAATAATTTTTTCATAGAAAAAGCTTCCAGTTTTGATCGTTTGTGATATGTTATGTTTCATTAGAAGCTTCTGCTAATAAAAAGCAAGATTTTCTTAACCAACCTCAATTCTTGATACAACCCCAAATATGTACTGCTAAAGCTTTCGTCTTTAATTGTTAGTCCATACATGTACTATTATTTTCTTTTCCATTGCCCTCATTAAAAAAGAACTTTACTATTACGAAAAACGACAATCAACACTCAAGTTGGAAAATCCATGATTTCAATTTAAACCTGAACTTAAGCATTATTTTCAGTGGGAAAAAAAATTTCCTTTTACTCTCAATATCCCAATGTCAACTTAAATGCGTAAATTGTGTACATTCTAGAATTTCTGATTTCCCGAAACTTAATAAGTCTTTTTTAAAGTATTATAATCCTGGATACTGATTGGTGTTCCATAATGCACTGTGAGACAATTGTACTTAATAATATTCAGAAGAACAAATACTTCAGCTATACACTAACATACCCTTGTTTCACAATTCTTTTACTTATAACATAACTGCCATCTTGTTTGAATCTGTTGCTTTCCCTCATAAGTGTATCGCCATATTTTCTTTCTGCTGCTATGGCTAAGTATGATTCAGCTTTTTCTCTGGTACAAGCCTCAAAGAACCAACTAAAAAAAACAAATAAATCCATGATCCTCAGGCTTTTACTGGATATTATCAAAGTACTATAATTTTATATATTTAAGCCTTTCGGTTTGTTATTGTCTGCATGGTACTAATTAAGCTAGGAAATAAATTATCTATATTCAAATCATCTAGTGATATACTACTTCAACTGTCTGCCTCTCCAAGAAAAAAATACAGTAATTCCATGGAGCTGCTGACCAAATATGAAATCATTCTGTTAAGCAGTTTTCTAACAAAACTGTGATGAAAATTTTTGTTGGACTCACGACATATGGAGGACGCACAAGGTGATTGCAATACTTTTAGAACGGGGTATAATAATAATATCTTCTTTTTTCAATGGTATAGTATTCCTCTTATATTCAGAATGACTTTCACTGAATAATAGATCATATAATACTAAGATCATTTTTTTACACCTGGTAAAGAAAATTACACTCCATTTCTTCCAGTTGGATAACTCCAAAAAAACTTTGATTCACATACAGATCACGCATCTCTGAGGACGGGACAGGTTTATCAATTAGTAATACCTACCTAGGGGTAACAGTATCATCTTGGTGGTTTGAAAACTTGTGTCTCTACAAAAACCAAAATATTTTTTTTTAAACACCGGAAATCGAAAATTTAACACAGTAGATTTAAACAGCATGGCACAATTTCAATTATTTTTCATTTATCAAATGCGTAATATTTAGTAGGCCATTTGGTGTTGTGGTTGTATTAATTAACCTTAGATTTTGATTATCATACATTTGTCATGGTTTATTGTTTTGGAAAGAAAATTCCATATTGTATTATTACTAATAGGAAGATTTTCTTTTTTGTTGACCAAATTATTTTGGCAAAAGAAACAAGAAGAGCATTTTTTTGTCTAAACCCTTTCATAAAAGCCCTTTTTTTTCGCATAGGTTGTTTAAATTACCATAACTGGGCCACCACCAACACCATCTATTGTCAAGGATCCACTGCCACTAGATCGGGAATGAGATCTATGACTAATGACACCACTGTCGTCAGATAATACACTCTTTCTGTTGGGGTTAGATCTACCGCTATTCATAGATTGTCTTGGACTATTTTCAGTGTTGCTCTTTTGGCTAACGACGTCAAATTGAGCTGGAGGGTCTGAACCATTGAGCAAGTGGTAGTTACCAACATCTTGTTTGATCTTGTTAATAATATCTCTTGGAAGATCAAGATCATCTGGCACTTTTTGCTGAAAAAGAGAATAATACATGTCTGCAACCTTTAAATTAGATTAGGAAGTCCTAAAAGCTTCTATTACTCACCTGATATCTGCATCACAGACAAGAATGGCCAGTGTCCAACCCAATGAAGCCTGTTTATTCTCCTTCCCCAGTAATCTGACCTTTACAGAGTTTTCACAAATTTCTTGTTGCATTATTTATTCTAAAAAGGGTGGTGGATTTTTAAATTTTCCAATAAGAAGCAAGAATATTTTCATATGATTTTACAAAATGAAGACTTTTTATTAAGAACCTTCCTAACATCATTCCTACAACGTTTGGTTAAGACTAGCCAAGTATAGTATTTCTGAAAGAAGATTCATATGCAATACTATCATTCTACGAGAAACCATACTATATGTGGCATCAATGCAGCCATGTAAGCAGAAATTGACCAATCAGAATCAAGAATCGACTCTAGCAGCCATGTATCTTTCTGATAGAAATATACTGACTAAGTGATTGGTTGTTTTTTGCCATAACGTCACATGCCAAATATAAGATGCATATTCAGGACATGAAAAAATTAATTAACAAGACTGTGTCCATAGTACAAGGATGCCCCACTCATTCTATCATTTTCTATGTTCAGTGGACCGTTAAATTGGGGTAAAAACTCTAATTTGGCATTAAAATTAGAAAGATCATATCATAGGGAACATGTGTACTAAGTTTCAAGTTGATTGGACTTCAACTTCATCAAAAACTACCTTGACCAAAATCTTTAACCTGAAGCGGGACAGACGGACAAACGGACTGACAAACGGACAAACGAAGGGACGCACAGACTAAAAAACATAATGCCCCTAGGTGGGGCATAAAAATCAAATTAGTAGGTTCTGCTAAGATGAAGGGTGAGAAATTTGAACTTCCACTAAGGACAAAGGGAATATTTGATAGTGGCAGAAAATTTGATATGAAGCAGGCTCTTCCCCTGAGTTATTGCAAGTGAACTTTAACAAGCAGAGAGTGTAGACAATTATAACTGAGTGGTAACAATTAGCTTTTAACAGTGTCATCTGAAAACCTGACTACCTGAAATAACCCAATTTTCCATGTAAAGTTTTGTTCCTTTTAAAATTATATTACTGAAATAAAAATTTGTAAGGGTTCCGCAGAACCCAGTGTCTTACCTACTTTTACTGTTGTCTATGTTTTCAGTGTGATAGGGGAATGCACATAATAGGTTTACAGTTAATGAAATAAATAAATAAGAAGCTTCTGTCCAAGTTTGGTAAAAATCCAGGATGGTTTATGAATCTAATAAATGTTTTAAAAACTTTAACTGCAGACTGTATGTAATGTTAACTGGAAGAAAAACTAAGTCCATTTATAAGTTATATACGGAAAAACAGGAAATTTTACAAAATTTCCTTCTAGATACTAGCTTTTGATCATAAACAAGCTTCTGTCCAAGTTTGGTACAAATCCAGGATAGTTTAAGAAAGTTATTAAAATTTTAAAAACTTTAACCACAGAGTGAATGTAATGTTTCCTGGCAGAAAAACTAAGTCCATTTATAAGTAAAATAAGGAAAAACAGGATTTTTTTTTTTACAAAATTTACTTCTGGATACTATCTTATGATCATAAACAAGCTTCTGTCCAAGTTTGGTACAAATCCAGGATAGTTTAAGAAAGTTATTAAAATTTCAAAAACTTTAACCACAGAGTGAATATTTGTGGATGCTGCTGACGCCGACGACATAATGTAGGATCGCTATGTCTCGCTTTTGCGACAAAAGTCGCAGGCTCAACAAAAAGGGACACACATTATATCCACACTAGATCACTATCAAACTGGTACAGAAGATAAATAACTTTTGAAAGTGTGGATTGATTGAATGCCATGATCAAATCAAATCAAACCTCAAGTTTTTCTTCTTATATCAGTTAAGAACCTATTGACAGCATTTCTTTAAGGTTTTAACTAAATATCTTTTAAAACAAAGAAGTATTATCAATACTTGAGAAAAAAAAGATTTTCAAATTAGCAAATATTTCATGTAAGTCTTAAAATAACAGGTTAAAAGTGTTTTGTTTTCCCATTGAAATAATTTGTCAATCATCAGTATACAGAAAGCAACAAGCATCTATTGTTCCATTGCTTTCTTAATTTACTGAATATGAATAAAAGGAGGGTATACTTCAATGAGACAGCAACCCAATAACCAAAAAAACCAATAAGATATCAAGACATGTGTCTATGCAATATATGCAATATGTTAAATTCTAAATTGTCCCGAGTCTAAAAAGTTGGGAATACATTAAACAGAGACTATCAGAGATCTGCCATCCTTGAACATCTAATTCCCAAGATGACAATGACATGACATAACCCATCTATTTCAAATTTGTTATTTAAATCAAGGGATTGACAGTGAAAAATCTGATAAAATTAGACAGATTTTGTTTTATAGTATTTGGAAGCTACAAAATTGTTCATAGCCGTGAAAATTACTGCATTTTTTATTTTAAACAACACAAAATATAACTGTTCTTGTGCAGTCAAGTTTAAAATTCAGTCGAATTTTTGTTCAACTGTGGCCTTTTAACAATATTCTACATGCCATGCTGCAGAAAAGACACATGACAACAATACTATTAGATTTTCGACCAGTTGATAAAGTATAATTGAACTAATCATGCTAATGAAATGTATCACTTGTAGCTGCAGGTCATTCTAATTATAGGGTAATTTATGGTATACCTACAGAAAACAGCTTCATATGTGTGGGCTAAACTGGTAAATCTTTAAAAAGTTTTTTGATGTCAAAATTTATTTGCTGTCAGTCTGAAGGGACCAAAATATTCACTGTAATCACGCTTAAATGATGCAATAAGACAAAATTAAACTGCTCGATTGATAAAAAAAAATGTTTTAAGCTTTAATCGACCTTGTATCCCATCTCACTGACGTAATCTCCCATCTCACTTTATTTAAATAATAATCAGTTTATATTAAAGGAACCATTACTAGTGCACAGTATGACTGAGGTGACTAAAACAAACTTATGACCATCAATAAATTGTTTTTACTCTGTTAATCAAGCTGACATTATTTTAAGAATTCATATGTAAAGCAGTAAAACAATAAATGCATACATGTGCATCATAAAAATGTCAAAACTCATAAAGAGAAGTTTTACACATAAGTAATGATATACTTTTATGATTATTCTAAATTGCAGTAAATGTTTTTCTTACCCTAGCAACACCAACTATATAGCCTCTCCATAAATCTCTTTCTGACTTTTTGTCACTCTAAAAAAAAAGAAATATGAGCTTAACTTAGCTTGTTACACATTCCATTAAGTCACAAAGGTCTAACTACTTCCTGGATGGCTTTCCACAAATATAAATTACATTGTTATTGTGAATTAATTATTATTTATGGGAAACCAAATTTCATGATTTTCAAGGGTACAGGTGATCCACGAATTCAAATATTCAACGAAATACAAATTCTCTGTAGGCTTGTTTGCACACTTTTGTAAAACCCAGAAATCAAATATCCATGAAATTACAATTTTTCCTTAAACCAGAAAAATTGGTATCGACGAAATCAAATGATTCCACAGTATAAATTATTCAAAACAATATTAAAGACATCAGCTTTGACAATAGACCAACATATTAAATATATAAAAAATTAAGTTTTTCCTAGCTGGTTTTTGCATCCTTTTTGGTGTAATTTTGGGTTTATTCCTCATAAATGCCTTCTAATTTTGATTTTGATTTAAAATATCTAATTGTAAACTGACATCTTTTACTTGCTTCAACAAAAGTTGTGGAATATTCAAAAGGTATATTAGTAATGAAATAATATAGAAAAGTCCTATTCATATAGATTGTTTATTTATTTCACTCTCTCTGATTTGAGTTTGTTTGACAAGTCTTCTTACCTTAAATGTATTTATTCTTCTTCTGTTACCCGTATACAATATAAACTTGTAATTGTTAGCTTTTTCTGGTCTAACCTCAAACTTTGTTGTTGGGTCTATTGTTAAGGTGCCTTCATGCTGTAACAGAAATCAGTATCAGTTACCTGGCTACCATTTTGAGAAGGCCTTATGTTTGATTTTGTCAGTTTTTATGAAATTCCCCTTTTTGAATTTACCTTGGAGGTCGGTATTTTTGTTACACTTTTTTTCATGTCAAGAGCATATTGACCTCACTGACATTCATAAATCTTTCCCAATCTATCAAGTAACCACTGTTTAGAAGTTACATCTTTTCTATGAAACTGAGGCCATGATTTTAACAGATGGTTTTACAGTTTCTTTTTATCTCAAACCCATCACTAAATTGTGACTGTAAATATATAAAAAAAAATACACAATGTACAATACTACTGTAGTTTTTGTTTTGAGCCGTAAAAGTAATATTCAATGTTACTGTCAAATGTTTCATGAAAACTTACATTTTCTGGTATGAACGGTCGATCTCTAAATATAAAAATAACATTGTTCTTCATTACCATCCATAATCGACGGTAGGAACTTTGCTGAAATGAAAAAAAATTAAACAATTACTCCTTAATACTTCCTTACATATTTTTTCATCAACTTTTTTATGCATGCAAGTTAAACTAATCATCCCCTTATCAGTCTTCATGACTAACCTCGGGCCATTCGGGCTGGGCCAGTTAACATGTTGTCTGGCAGATAATTTTTTTTCTAAAAAGAGGTCTCAAAGCTAAATAAATTAAAATAAAGTTTTTGAAACCCTGGGCTTTTGGTCATAAAACTTTACTCAGTTCTTGGAGTACAAAATTGGTGCTCGAAACACCAAATCCAGTATTTTGATTGGTTGATTACTGAGTCGGAGTACGATAATTGTACTCAAAAGTTTTATGACCACAAGGCCTGATTTTCAGGATTGTAGGTCAACTTTTTTTTTCTTGAAGACTGCAAAATGTTTACATGACTATTTGAAATCTGGAGTGACCCATGTCTTGTCAGTGGTTGATGCCATTTTGGGGGAATTTATGTTATCGTCTACTTACAAATTTGATATTGCTGTCAGACCTTGGGCAAACTCTCTTGAATTCATTCACAACTTGACTAAATCTTTATATAGAGGTTTCAGTTTGATTTTATACACTTGTCCATATACAAGGGAGGTATTTTGACCTCTATGATGTCTATTTTGATGAATTTGTATTGCTGGGTTATTGCCTCATCAATTTTACCTAACATCTCTTGGTATAAAAACTATATGAATGACCTTGGTTAGCTGACCTATTCTTTCATCATCTTTCTTTCATAAAAATATCTAAGGGCTGTTCATCTGGTGTCTCTCTCACTTTTTGCAAACATTTTCAGAAGAAATGATTTGGGAGCATGTACAAGGGTCTGGATAGGGTTTACAGAATAGAGAATAATGGACCCAAAAAAATAAAGAATAGAGAAAAAGAGGCCCAAAAAATGAAGAATAGAGAATATTGGTGTGCTAAATATAAAGAATAGAGAATAATGGGTAAAATTTATAAAGAATAGAGAAAAATGGCATAAAAAATTAAAGAATACCAATTGAAGGATACCCCATCCAGACCCTCATGAATACTATATTGAAAACAATATATATTTTTATTAGCCTCCCTTAGGAGAGATAGTGAAATAAATAAAATATTAATGAAAAACACAATATAAATAAAGTTTAAACAGATGAAAAAAAAAATAATAAGTACACTATGAAATTTCTTCTAAGTAAAAAATATATTTATAAGCAAGACATTTACATTAAATTTAATTGGTACATTAGTACTTAAGAACAGTCTTTTGCATTAGTAATGTCATTAAGTCACCTTATTGCAAGGTGAATATGTGTCATAAAACACTATTTTTCCGATTCTATGCGACAAGGTTGAATTTAACAGAACATACAAAAAGAACAAAGTAAAGTATTGTGTCAGATGTAAAATATAATAATAATCTATGATGCAAGAGCATTGATCAAATTAAAAATATCTATATAAAATCTATTATTAAAGACCATCATTTCTAAAAATCCTCCTACAGATAACAGAGATATATTGTCAAAATATTATGATTAGCCAATAAAAAATTTCTAAATATTAAAGATATCATCTTTTGATAGACATTAATTATTGAAGGAAATCATTTTCAAAATGTAAAAAATGTCATAAAGGAAACAATATAATGGATGGTTCAGGTAATGTAAGGGCAATTAATTGGAAAATAAATTATTCTTGTGATTACATCATTAAAGTGTTAAATTCAAAATTCTTGTGAGAATTTTTCTTTTTAATTTGTGCACTTCCTCCTCGTCCAACAGAATAAAATCATTGTTTACACTTATTCAAATATGATTGATTGACTGTTGTTTAACACTTTTTTTCAATATGCAACTAACTGTAGACAATAAAATTTTACAATTCTGCTTTTTTTCATACATTTGACTGACATCGTGAACAACAGAAATGCAATACACATACATTTCCTACCTATTTTAATTAGTAAGTAAGTAAGTAAATTTTATTTAGAGTTGGCAGATATTGACAAACAACAATAAACATGAGCTTAAGAAAGCTCTTACAAACGACTATAACATATATACAAAACATCACAGTACAACAAGGGTTCAAATAAATTATACATTTTACTCTTGTTATGCCTTATAAGAAACAGGGAGAACTTTATCAAAACATGCCCTGCATAGCACTAAGACACAGATACTTATATACTACATTGATATTCACTTTGATAAAGATTTTATTTGTTTGATAAAGGTTCCCAAATTGTTACAGAATTTGACATTTAATTTTTTAACCACAGAATTTTGCCAGACTATATCTGATACTGTTGATAATCAAATGAAAATACTTCATGTACATGTATATAAAATTGAGAATGGAAATGGAGAATGTGTCAAAGAGACAACAACCCGACCATAGAACAGACAACAGCCGAAGGCCACCAATGGGTCTTCAATGCAGCGAGAAACTCCCGCACCCGGAGGCGTCCTTCAGCTGGCCCCTAAACAAATATGTATACTAGTTCAGTGATAATGGACGTCATACTAAACTCCAAATTATACACAAGAAACTAAAATTAAAAATGATACAAGACTAACAAAGGCCAGAGGCTCCTGACTTGGGACAGGCGCAAAAATGCGGCGGGGTTAAACATGTTTTTTGAGATCTCAACCCTCCCCCTATACTCCTAGCCAATGTAGAAAAAACAAACGTACAACAGTACGCACAGTAAAACTCAGTTTAAGAGAAGTCCAAGTCCGATGTCAGAAAAGGAAACAAAAGAAAATAAACAAAATGACAATAATACATAAATAACAACAGACTACTAGCAGTTACTGACATGCCAGCTCCAGACCACAATTAAACTGATTGAAAGATTATGTCTTCATCATATGAATATCAGGCACAATCCCTCCTGTTAGGGGTTTAGTATTAAACCATCATAAAATATATGAGAAGAACATAACCCGTGTCATGCCAACAACTGGTTTTAGAATAAATATGTTTAATTCCGATGCAAAGACCCTATAAGTGAATCAATATTAAAGCCAAAATATGCAATCTTTAATGACCTGACAACAGTATCGTAACTATATCCCTTCTTAATAAGTCTGTTTAAAGGTTTTGTTAGCTTTTGAGGTGAATACTGACATTTTTGTGCTTTGTAAAGAATGTTACCATAAAAGATTGGATGTGAAATACACGAACGTATAAGATGTCTGCATGTTGATATGCATAATTTAAAGATCTATATCCATATAATGAGTTATGTATCTACAGAAAGCTGTAAGAAAAAAAAAGTACAAAATTTTACTACAAATTACTGATGTGTATAAATGTGCGACTATCTCAATAGTTTTAGATAAAGAAAAATCAAACCTGAGAGGAAAAAAAAAGTAAACAAATATCAAGGAGGCAATCAAAATCACAAATTGCTGGGGTTTGAGGCAGACAAGAAAAATTATGACAACTTATTTCTAGGTGTCCAGAAGCCTACAAACAAGTATGTGTACTATTTTCTGTACAGGCAAATGTAGTCAGAACTATTTTTTGTGTGTACTTAACAAAAAAAATATGCCAAGGAGAAATATGTAAAAGTTTTCTAATTATTATCACTGAAGAATTACAAAAATAATCAGGACCAAACCTATTTATCAAACATTGCATGCAAAGATATATTTAATATGTTCAACTTATGTGAGAAAGAACATACAATGTATGCTTTTTTTATAACCTTAAAAGTGTTTACAACTTTTCAAGACATATTTCAATTTTTATTTCAAAAAGTGCAGAATTTAAATAGATATCTTTTGAAAAAATTTGGCAAAATACCAACTAAGTCTAACTATATGTTTGTATAAAAATGATTGCTTTATCCATGATTAAATACTTGTGTGAAAGCATATGGCAGTCTTATTTCAAAACTTCCCTGTCCAATATTGGGAATTTCCCTGTCCAAAATTGGGAATTACCCTCCAAGATTGACACACATTTTTTTTATAAAAGCACAATACCATTTGATATGAAAGCACTTCTTTAATGCATACCTGAACCGTAAAGGCAATTGTGTTCAATGCCAAATTTGGATTGTGTTACATTTCTCCATCAAAATAAAACAGAACTGACATTCATGCTCTGACAACTATTTTGTATACACTTTGCTAAATTTAAAATATATCATGTTATTTTTTTAACAATATAATCATAAATACACCAGTCTCTTCTCATGAAAAGGTATTAAATTCATGAGTCTATATATTCAATGCAATGTGATGTTATAATTTGAAAAAAATTTAAAAATCAGGGGTGAAACTTAACTTTGTAAGGGCAGTAGCCAGCTGGACTACTAGACTTGAAAATCAGTTAGCCCAGACAAAAAGTTAGTAGCCTACTTTATTTCACTATGAGTATCACCGGTGAAGCCCGCGAAGCGGGCTGAACTTGCTAGGGGGGTTTGGCATGCCCCCCCCAAGAAAATTTTGAAATTTTAGACTCAAAACCCTGCGTTCTGAGCATACCTGGAGGTGATTTAGATGCTTGGGAAAATGTTAATTTTGTCTTATTTTTGTTGTTGACTTCAATCAAATTTAATAAAAAAAAATCATTTACAAAATGGGAATCTTCATGCCCTGTGTACCAGTTTTTTTTTTAATAACTTTTTAAGACAACTAAAGAATTCTCTGTCTTTAAATACATGTAGATGATCGATGAAATATTTAATTTTATTTCTTTAATAATCTAATTTATTAAATATCTTGATCGATTTATTTTGCGTAACTACGTACATTTGTAAACAAATGACCCCCCTTTTTTCTCAAAAGACTTGTACACGTATTTCAAAATCATTGTCATAAAATTGATATCTCCTCTGATTTTCTCTTTTTTGTAAACTGTTCAGTAAGTAGGAAACTAAAATCATTTTGAACTAATGTTATTTATTTGTGGTCGACAAAATTCTACTTTCGTTTTTGACCTTCATTCTCTGGACACCACGTGGGATTTGAAAA